TCTTTTTAGGGGGCTGCTGAACCGTATACAGTTATTAAATATGTCTTGGTTGAAATTGAATGCCCATGGCAGCTAGTCGCGAAATTCTCCCGTAAACATCTGCACGTGGGGACTAAACACAACGCTATTTTCCGTAGAAAATCGCAATCACCTGAGTGGAAATTCGCAATCACCCGAGTGGAAATTGAACGAAACCCACGTCACAGTGATAGGACGGCGATGAAATCGAAGTGCAAAAGCTTCATAAACGAGAGTCGTGATTGTCAAGCTCAAAAATTGCCAGGGAGTATAACGGTGGTGACGCTGAAGCCAGGTACTTCACCAACGTGGACGGTCTGGTACTTCCCGCCTAGCAACTGCACCTCAATGATCAAATCCGAAATGTCCTTTTCCTGACTACTGAGTACCTGATGATGACGATTCTGCTGTACGGCGTAGGAGGGCGAGTTCTTACGATAATCTCCAACTCAGTTTTGGCCTCATTTACGAAAGCCATTGCTTCTAGTGTGTTAATAGTAAAGATCGGACTCGATGTGGAATTGGTAACATTCACAGAAGTGACCATCCTGGCACCGGGGGCGACGAATTTAGTGATGTGCCCAAAGGCATAATAAGAAGGTTGAATCTGATACAAATACATAGCCACTCATGGCCACTTATGGTCAATAGTATATACCACTAGCTGACTTGCGTTGTCTATATGGATGTGTGCATAGCAATAGTTATCAGCGTGGTTGGGGCCTCCACGATTCTGAGGAAAATGATTCGTATAAGATCCGAATACCAACAACAAAGCGACATACGGCATGTGATGCTTTCTCGTTGAGTAGTAGGTTCCAGTCCACCCATCCAGTTGCTCCGCCGTGCATGAAGTCAACTATAACACCATGTACGTAGCGAGCAGCTCGTTGCCATGTAGAGTTGTGGAAGAACCCAATCGCGTCCCAATCACAGGTGCCTGAAAGAATCCAATGAATTCAACGCACTATGAAGAATATCTCTCTGCCTACATGCTTCGGTCCCCAGGAGAGCGTATTTACTGCCGTATTTGGCTTTGAAATTCTCAAGATTTGAAATTTGGTCGAAGGTATACCAATGGACTCCGGCACCATAAATGTACCTGTAGGAACAGTTTGTGAAATTATGCGCATGATCAACCACATATGTTGGTGACACTATGAAAAAAACTGTGGAAATTTTGAGAGGTTATATAATTCCGAATTCATATATAAACTTCTATAATTAGTGAGGAAA